TGCCGTGAGAGGGACGATGACCACCCCCGCTCTGCTGCCCCTGTCTGGGCGCAGGATCCCCCCCCTGAACCTTGGGACCTCCTTCCCGCACCACAGGGCTACCTTGAGACTGTCCGAAAAATTTATCCTCCTCCTCATTCTTAGTGCCTTCATCACCCTCTGCTTCGGGGCGTTCTTCTTCCTCCCGGATTCTTCCAAACACAAACGCGAGGGACGATGACCACCCCCGCTCTGCTGCCCCTGTCTGGGCGCAGGATCCCCCCCCTGAACCTTGGGACCTCCTTCCCGCACCACAGGGCTACCTTGAGACTGTCCGAAAAATTTATCCTCCTCCTCATTCTTAGTGCCTTCATCACCCTCTGCTTCGGGGCGTTCTTCTTCCTCCCGGATTCTTCCAAACACAAACGCTTTGATCTGGGTTTGGAGGATGTGTTAATTCCTCACGTGGATACCAGCAAGGGGGGCAAAAACCTTGGAGGCTACTTGATCCATGGACAAGGACGCGATGAGCACAGGCACAGGTATAATGTATGCACGTGGGTTTTGTTTCACATAAAAAAGAAATGCCCTATCTTGTTGTCATTTAAGGGACTGCAAATGGGAATCGGTTTGGGCACAAAGAAAACCTAGTAAAGGAGACTGCAGTTGGCCTAGCTGTGTAAGGTGATTTTTTTCCTTCTTCAGTTTCCAGGAAAATGTAGCTCTACCTAGATGGCATTTTCTTCTGACAAATGTAAAAATTATGATTGCTTAATTGTTGCTAAAAGTGGTACTGTCATGCAAGGGGCGTAATTTTGGATTGGGCCCACAACTGGAGAATCAGCTTAGGTAGCCTTGATGTCTCCAACATCAGATGTCCATAGTATTAATTTTTCTCTATATTTCCTATGTGTTCTCTGTGCCCTCTCCCATACCTTCCTCAAGGTGCTGCTTGTGATGCTGTCTGGGGTCTCCTAGCTTTTGGACCCTGGTCCACTATGATTCTGATTCATTCAGGCTCTCAACCCTTGTGCTGCTGTTTTAGACAGGTGGCTGACTTTCTTACTTTTCTTGTTCTGCTGAGATGGCTAGGAAGCTAAAACAGGAACATGAGAGAGAACCTGGTGCTATGAGAACAAACTGAGGTGGTAGTGATAGCAGTTTTTCCAGTAATGATCACTGGTGGAGGGGAACTATAATTAAGCACTAGAACTGAACTGTTAGTGCTCACTGGTCAAGGTGGCCTTAGTGGGCTCTCTAGTCAGGTGTCTATGCAATTTAGGGTTTGGTTGTCTCACGTTAAGCCTCAGACTTGAATTCTGTAGAAAAACTATGCTTAATAAATTCTCAGAAACTTGCAGGTGAAGAATTTTTTAGTACACTTACAATGTAATTCTGGTGTATAAGTCATAATGTGGCAGAAAAACAAAAGTGAATTTTACTAGTCTCTTTTCATTCTCCAACATGTGTATTAGTGATACCACTGAACTTAATTTGTTAATAAAAATGAGTAACAGTAAAGGAATTTAAAAAATACTCAAGCTTTTTTCTTTTGGAGTCATGTGAAATAGGTTGACTCTTCTACAGACAGTAAGTTTTTTTAAACGGTGGTATGTGCTGGGTTTTAAAAGATGGGGTTGCCCTATTTTGTTACTGTAGAGTATATAAAGGCAACCTGAACATTGGGGTATTTCCCACTTTTGTATTTTATATTAAAAATTTCAGCAATGTTAAGTGTGATTATGCATGGAGGACCTATTAGACATCTTGGAGTACATTTATGAGATCTGATGCTTTAATTGAATGGGCACAGGTGCTGAATATTTTATAAAGAAAATGTTAATTAAACCTCTACAGTTTAATGCTACACAAAACAGTGCTAGACATTCTAACTAATAAACCTTCCTAATTACTTATGTAAGGAGGTCTTATAGGTAGGGATGTTAGCCTTTAGTCGAGTAAACGATTGATTGATAAGCCTGGGTTTATCCGTTAATCCTGTCGACTACATGCCCTCCCCTCCCCCTGCTGCCTCTGTATCCCATGGAACCACCTGCTTCCCCTTGCTGCCAGAAGAGGGAGGAGGGAGCAGGGGAGAGCTGGTACTCAGGGGGAGCCTGTTTAAAAGCCAGTGCAGCTCCTGTCTGTGCGAAGCTCAGGCCCCTGACAGACAGAGGCTGCTGCCTTTGTATCTGTGTTTTTAAAAAGGCTCTACTCGTGGACCAGCTCCTGCCTGCTGCCCTGCACTGCTGCCTCTGATACAGAGGCAGCAGCGTGGGGTGGCAGGGAGCTCCCCGGGGGTGAGGTCAGAAGCACACTGACTGCTGGCCCGATCCCTGGGGACTACTGAATAATCATGTAACTGCTAAGATTTTGTGTGGCTACATGATTATTGAATTCATTGATACCTAACATCCCTAATTATAGGTTGGTAGACCTCTGTTGGCAGCTAGTCATCAACAGGAGCCAGAGTCCCTCTGCTTTGGCTGGGTTAGTTTCAGTGGCCTGGGTTATTAGCTGTTAACTCAGGAATAGGCAATAAGTGGCCCACTGGTTGGATGTGGTTTGCCAGGTTTAGACCCCGGCAGGCCACTGGTGCTTTACCTACCTTTCTGTAGGTACAGCCACTTGCAGCTTCCTTGGCCGTGGATCGCCATCCGCAGGCAATGGGAGCTACGGGAAGTGGTGTCCCAGTCTGTGCCTCTTCCTGCAGCTCCCAGTGGCCTGATGGGAGCTGCAAGCAGCCATACATATGAACAGGCAGGTAAATGAAGTGCTGGCGGCCAGCCAGAGGTTAACCCTGGCAAATTGCCTCCAGTTTATTGCCTACCCCTGTACTAACTGGTGGTACTTCCAGGGAGCTAGGAACACCACCATACCCTCTTTGTGGGTTCAGTGAGCCCTGACTCATATTTGCCCCATATGGATTGCCTGGTACTCTGTATATATAGTCTTGTAACACTTTTGTAATGGATGAATCAAAAGTCTGCAACATTCATTTATAAGGGAAGTACAGAAGCAAAGGGAAGGAAAAAATGGATTTGACATGGGTACATTAGTAACATCCATACAGTGAGCAAGTAGCACAATCCTAGGGTGAATTTCCCATATTCAGGGAGTATAGTTTATTCCACAGTAATGGGCAGTGTAAAGTGGAGGTGTCAGTTTACCTTGAGTCATTGCAGGCCTGAGGCTGTTTGTGTGGTGAGGTGCAGAGGGGTACTCATTTGTTCTGAGGGCTAACCTCTGCAGCAGCAATGACAGGGTGTCTGGCTTGTGAGTCTTGCCCACATGCTCAGGGTTCAGCTGATCGCCATATTTGGGGTCGGGAGGGAATTTTCCTCCAGGGTAGATTGGCAGAGGCCCTGGAGGTTTTTCGCCTTCCTCTGTAGCATGGGGCATGGGTCACTAGCAGGAGGATTCTCTGCATCTTGGGGTCTTTGAACCATCGTTTCAAGGACTTCAATATCTGAGATATAGGTGAGAGGATTATTCTAGCAGCGGGTGGGTGAGATTCTGTGGCCTGAATTGTGCAGGGGGTCAGACTAGATGATCAAAATGGTCCCTTCTGACCTTAAAGACTGAGTCTGAGGTGTTCTCCTTGGAAAATGTCCCCACAGTGTTGGCGCCTTCTCAGTCTTTGAGACCAGTGGTTCTCTCGCAAAATAGTTCCACAAACCCCCCTCAGGGTAAGATAGGTAAAACACCAGGCAAGGAGAGACCGCCAGGAGATCAGTCACCTGCACTCCCCTCAGGCAGGGCTGTCCTCTCATTCCCCCATCCAGTTGGCTTCCATTCCCCAGAGTTCACCAAATCACAGTGCTCAACATCCTTGTTGAAGTGAACGCATACCATCTTATCACACCCTCTCTCTCAGCTATCTGTCAAGAAGGCTTTGTATCTTGCGCAAAAGGTTTTTTTTGCACAAAATGGAAGCGGCTACGCTGCTTCTTTTTGCACAAAAACCCCATGCGCAAAAAGAATTGTCAGAAAATATGCTAATGATGTCGAGACTCATGCTAATGAGTCCCTCATTAGCATATTTTCTGCTGCGAAAACTTTCAGTGCAGACGTAGCCCAAGTGTGGCTCCTTTTTTTTTAATCAAACCATTAACTCAAGTTATGCTTGCCATATGCTGTTTTGTCTCATGATTCTTTTGTTTCTCAGGCACCATGATCTGCATTTGTAAAGTAGACAAGTCAAACAAAAAGCTATTTCTCACATATTCTTGAATTGTATGATACCTTTTAGTGGCTCACCCTTGGAGAAGAAAAGGAACTTGTAACTGCTAACAGCTAATAGATTTTTGACGTATCTTTTGGAATTCCAGATCCCTGTGCGTGTGATCTCCTCTTCCCTCCGTCATAGAAAATATCTACTTGAAGACCTATGAGTTCAGTAGTGATATAGCAAAGGAGGTTATTAGGGTTGTGCCAACTTTGGCGTTATTATTTGTGGGTATCTTTACATAGAGGTAACTTTTCTGTTATGTTCAAAGTAGACTTGAGTCAGTCTACATAGTTTCTGTCCACACTATAGAGAAACTTTGCCTGCTAACCATTGGATGCGCCCAGCACTTTAAGGTGTGTGTGTGCACGTGCACACACTCACACACTTTCAGCGATGAAAAAGCCTCCTTTTGGATTACATTTGATTTGACGTACCAGTATGGACAAAGACCACAAAACTCAGTCATAAGTGATACTTAAGTATGACTGGCTTCCTGAAGGGACAGAACATCTTGAATCAGCCTCATTTTGTAGTAGACACTTGCCCCTTTGGTGGTGAGTTGGACAGATTCCTCAGGTGTCAATTATACCCTGCTGGAGGTGCTTCTGGAAAGCACTGAGTTTCCACGTAGAAAAGGAGAGGATTGATTGTTTTACAAGCTGGACTACGAGACTGGACATGATGGAATCTCCTTTCACAAACCCTGGATCTTCAGTTGGTGACCAAGCTGATTTCCTTCTTCAGCCAAAGAGAATGAAAAGTTCTGTCTGATATGTAGCTTATAAAATGTTGTAATTGATTTTGGAGGCCTTGTGGCTGAAGGAAGAATATTTTGTAAGAATCATGATAGGTATTCATAAAAGATAGAAGCTACCGATCTTACATTTGTAGAAAACTGCCTTACATATACAATGGAGCTACTATTAATCTTTTCCTTCCAGTATCTGAGTAACTCACTAAACAAGTCCTCCAACATTGTAATCAAATTTTGGGACAGTGCATATTTCTTTCCACCAAGATGGAAACTTGCACAGTCTCAATATTCATGGAGGCAGTCCTTCGATATCAAAGGTACAAATTATCTTCATTGGTCTTCAAGCTTTCCTGAGATTGTTGATGGACCCAGCCAGGGAAAGAAAAGCAAAGATGTTATTGAGGGTGCTTTGTTAGGTTAATTACAGCTGCAGTCTCCTGAGCTTCCTATCTTTAGCCTATTAATCAGTTAAAATAGCATCCCCTGCTCACCTGAAATTTTATCAGTGTTTTTGTGAATTGTTTGTCTCTTGTCCAGAGAAAATGTGTTAACAAGAA